AGGACACAGTGCTCCCCTAAACATGGTACAATCGGGGCTTTTTTAAGCAGTGCATGAACTAAAAGGACTTACACGTACACAGCCATCGCAGCACATTCAACAACGTGGGATTTATCACCCACAGTCTTATACAACTGCCCCTCCGCAGGGACACCAGCAAAACCAGAGACTGACAAACAGCACAAACATTGTTTCCAGCCGAGCACCACACACAGTTTTGGGAACATTCCTACAAAGATCAGTTTATGGAGGATGGGAAAAGTATGTGTGTGCTCAGTTACATGTGACTAGATCCAGTGCTACAAGTTATCCCAGTAGTATGCTGCTACATTAAATACAGATGCATATACACAGAGAAATGATGAGAGATACACATCAACCATTGTCACCTACCCTCCTCCTGCATTGCCTCTGTAGTTCAGAGGACAAATGCCAAAAGGACATTAAGATCCCTGCCCAAACCAACTACACTGACACAACTGGCACCAACCTGGCTGCTCCCAGTGCTGAAGATGCTTATGAAGACATGGATTTCAACATCACCTGGTTGGAGACATTCCTCATCCAGTTAGTCAAGTGCTGTGTAGGAATTCAAACAAAACTACTACATTCAGAACAGATTCTTCATCCCTGCTCCACCCTGAGGCATGGGAAGTGCCTATAGATGGTATGTAAACAAGGAATAACATGTTAGGTCCATAGGAAGCATGACCCAGCACTCAGTGCAGAGTAGGAAAGGGAAGGAGAGCAAAGCAGCAGCCACATATGGAGATGTCGCGAATATCCATCACTGAGCAGTGCCAAGAAGCGATCCCTTTGGGAGCACGACATCAGGCACTGAAGCCAGTGTTTTGCCAGAAGTGAACTGAAGCAGCATCTGGCAGAAGAGCTCTTTCAAATGCCTCCCCTGCAGGTGCTCCCTCTCAGGGCTCACCACCTCCAAATCTGACACAACACCAGGCACGGGGCACTTCAGGTCTCCAGCTGTAAGCCAGCAAGGCCTACTCGAGGTGGAGATGCCATGAAGCTCTGTGCACCTTCAGCTCCCAGCAGAGCCCTCACCAGGACCTGAAGAGCTCACTGAAGCTCACCAGGTACCTAGGAGGAAGCCTTCCCCATCCTAGCAGGGTAGCAGCACCCACATTGCAGGTGGATTCTTCTTCTGAGTACCTAAATGAAAGGCAGTCACTAAGAGCAGGAACAGGACGCACAGCTACAGGTGTATTACAGCTCCAGGCTTTAACAAACTGCTTTTTCTCTCCCACAAAGAAGGACCAACTAACTACAACTCCACAGGCAAACCAATCATTCCCTTTTTTTCCTACCTGTAAACCAAACAGCACCGATTGGATTTTCCCTACTGCAGGCAACAACTGCAAAAACAAAATGCAATTTAAGAATCCAGCATTGTGAAGTTCACATTAAGACATTTCACATGAGAAATAAAGCTACGTGAGCCCCTCTTCTACTTCCAAGTAGTAGCTTTAACACAGAGTATTGCAGGCACTTGCACATTGCAGTGCTTTACCTATGAGTAGCAAGAGAGACACTAGGTAGAGCATGACAGCAGGATGCCAGGGAGTAACCTTGGCAAAGCAAGAGGTGCTCCAGAAAAGGAAGGGTTTTACACAAACAAAGCAAACAGGATCCCCCCTCCTTCCCAGTTCTCAGAATACAAATGGAAAGCAGCAAGTTGCACTGTTCACTCAACAGCTCTCTGTAAAAAGCTTCGTGGCTTCACAACACATGGATGCTCCACTAGAACAAACAAGCTACAGGAACTTTTCACCTACACAGTGCTTGCCAAGAAGATTCCTATGTAACAGCTTTTACATTGCCTTTAACACTTTTAGGGAACATATAATGAAGTCAGTTGCCACTGTCAGCAGGACACTCCACGAGGAGCAAACATGGGGTTCTGGCAAAGCTCTGGCAAGGAATCCAGCTGAGCAGAGACCTGAGGATGTGCTGCAGCACTTGGAAAAGCTTCTCATTTTTGGTCTTGGAACACCCACGAGTTCCTGTCAAAACTAAAAAGCTTCTTGGTAATTGGTTTGCAAAGAAAAAAGCTCACAGAAAGCCAGGAAACGCTGGAATCTTTTCCAGCTCTATCCATTTACAGCACCAGCATTTAACACATTAAATCCAAGAGGTTTAAAAAGACAGACCAAGTACCCTTTTATTTTGGCCAGGTCTTGCATCTCAAAGTAACAAGTCATCCATTGTTTTGTTACTGAAGTCAAAAGCAGCAAGATTACTAAGAGCTTACTAATACTTTCAGTGTATGGAGTAATCTTTTATGGTTCTATGCACCTGTAGTAATATTGTCATCAAGAAGGATTTGTGAGGATGTAAGCATCACGTTTTAGGAATAAGCAAAGATGATTATATTTTCTCCAAGGTAATCTGTGGTAATTCAAAACTCAAGGCAACATGTAAACATGTACAGAAACCTTCTGCAAAATGCTTTTCTACAATGATTAACCAGTGGTGTGTTTAAATCCTTCAGCAATCAGTCAAAACTCACTGCAGTTCTGAATCCCTCATTTTCAACAGAGAGCACGTTACAAGGACTGATGACATCCAGAATAACTGGTCCTAAAAAGTGCCTGTCTTGGTCCCATTTACCATTTCAGAGCTCTCTGTTTGAGAAGCCAGGGCTGACATGTCAGCCCATGCAAAACAGGCTCCAAACCAGAGTGCTCCAAATGGAGCTTTTACACTGCAAAGAGGCAAAGGGAAATTATCACTCCAGCACCCTCCAGTGGAAATCCGTGGCAGATTCCCAGCCCTGGGTAACAGGAACAGCTGGATTAACACTTGAGATGCAATCTCCTCACTTAAGGAGTACATGGATACAGCAAACTTAAAAGGTTGGTAGAGTAACTTGGCTTTAGGAGCTTCACATGTCTCTTTTTAGGAGCAAAGAGACTCAAGAGCAGATGCTCATCTTGAGATAAAGAAAAGATGCATTTGGAAACGTGCATCCTTCAAAACAGATACAACCCTGTTGTATGATGCACTCTTCTTGATACACACAACAAATTTCAAGCATCATTACTAAAATCCTGAACCAGACCTGCTTGTGCTTTGTTTTTAAGTGGCTCAGACACTGTAGTTTTACCTTGAAAAAAACTACATTCCTTGCTTTAAAATTGACAAACCTCCACATTAAAAACCAGTTTCTCGTTGCCATTCTAGGCAATGAGAACTCAGTTTTCAGGTATCGCCCTTTTCCCTGGGGTCTTCTGATATACTTAGAATATCAGTTTTCTTACCCAAAGTGAGACATTCAGGGGAGTTCTGTTTTTTTCTTTCTACTTTCTCTTGAACACTGAAGCTAACCTGGTCATTTCACCACATACGGGCACATGACCAATGGCTACTGGATTTTCTGCTGCTATAGTGGAATGTTTCTGCTTCTCACTGCAGATTGGGAGGGTTAACTTAGAGAATATTTCCAGTTTCTTCCAAAATTTCATACTCCCCCTCATTTTAAGACCTAATGGTAGCATCTAATTGAAACATCAAGATCCAGAAGAAAGCAGCAAAGCATCTTGAGTGAAGCTGCACAAAGGGACTCTGTCCAGTTAAGCACATCTGTAGAAGCTTGTTCAGAACAAGTACTGGGGTACAGCTTTCCTGGGGGACAGGCTTCTGGATAAATGGAATATAAGTCTCCATTTTAAACCCCCAAGTTTGAACTGGTGGCTGCAGGTGAGATTCCTGCAGTTTGAGGAAACGAAGCAGTGCTAACAGCCAGAGTGAGCCCAGTATGGAGCCACAGACACATCCACTCCGTGTTCCACTGATGGGTCACGTCCCAAGTTAAGTTTTGTTACCAGCTCCACAGAAGTACAAAGTTCATTGCCACGAGACAGTACAGACAAAACATGTCTAAGGTTCATGTAACATTAACATCCAAGACAACTTGTACTATGATCACTCAGCGTATGATGTGAAATAACCATCTCAGACCCCGTGTCAGTAGCAGAACACCCCTAATCTGCAACTACTGCCTTGTCAATGGATATGAGGAGAGCACATTGACTCCAACTTAGAACTAAGTTACTCTCTTGCTTCAATTTAACCAAGATCATAAAACAAGAGAGAATAAAATCCATACAAATTTTTTCCTTACTTTTCCTCATTTTCCATCCTCCCTCTGTCACAAAGCCACGTGTTACAGGCTTTGTGGCTTGCTGCCCTCTCACAGTCAGTAAATGTGGTCCTTATCCTTTGAAAGGTCAGCTTAGAGAGAAGCTACTGAACTCAGGGGATCAGCAAAGATCCTGGAGAAGCCAGAGCAGGTAAAAAAACTGGTTTAAAAATACTGACTACAAAGAAGACCAAACACTACACTCTGCACTACAGTAATAAAAATAGAACATTGCATGGCTAGACATCAAAAGGTCTCCATAAAAAGGCACAGGGGGGTTTGGTTTTGTTTAACAAATATGCATAGGAAACAAAAAATGAATCACTTCTGCCACAGGGTGAGGGTCCATGCAGAGATTCATTCACAGCTAAGAAAGGTGGGGTTTTTTATCATTTTAAGAGGAACTGACATTTTTTTTATCATTTTAAGATGACCTTGCACCATCACTGAGAATAACTGGATTGTATCTTTCCTGCTCCAGTTGTAAACACCACACAACTCCTAAGCCCCATGTAAATTGACCAAAGTATCTTTCAGCTCGAAACACCAAGTGCTGGCAGCAGTCATGAACCTGAAACACGTTGTGTTTCCACTGAGCAGTAAGGTCTGCATGAACTCAAGGCAGCCTCCTGGGCAGCTCCGTACACATCATCCTCCTTTCAGCTGCAAAATGATGTGAACCAAACCAAACGCAGCCTGTGTGCCCTACAGCGAGCACAGCTCCCTGCCAGCACACCACACACACTCCATGGGTAGGGGGTCTGCACCTCCTGGGGGCACAGCCCCCTCAGGCCTCACCACCACAAGCGCCTGGTTCATCGAGGTCAGTTCTCAGAGCTCATCAGTGGTGCTGAGGTTTTGCACCCTTCCCTTCAGAGTCCATCACGTCAGGGGTGTCATTCAGAGCCTGGAGGTCCCGGTGATGAGACAGGTTCTCTTTGTGCTTTTGGTCCACACCTGATGGAACATCTACATCCCCTGCCGAGGCACCATTGCTCAGCACAGGAGGTGGTTCCCCTTCATAACCCTGAGGAGTGTTGAGCATCGGTGTTTTTGAAGCAGCATGTCCTACTTTAGACAAGGAGGAGCCTTCACTGGGCAAAGGACCATCGAGGAAAGGAAGTTTCTATACAGATGAAAAGACAGTAAAAAGAAATTAATGGAAGTTGTTATTCCCAGATGCTAGAGATACACAAAAAACAACTGCCAACACAACAGTTCTGTGCCAGTGCCTCTTCTTCAGCTCAGTAATCCAGCATTGAAGTACACAAGCATAGATCCTTATATGTTTGTATCTAACATCATTGTTTAATTAATAAAAACTAAAGTCTTCAGCACTCACATTAACCTATCAAAGGACACAGATAGTTCTTCTCATTGGTATATTTTTAGATGACTCACTAATATTTTTAGGGGGTTTTTTCGGTTGGTTTGTGGTTTATTTGGGGTTTTTTAATACACAGAGAGGATATTGTGGACAGAGCCTCGAGCATAAAGAAAAGCCACACTTCTCCTTGCAGGCAGCTGTAGAGGACTATGGAGGGTTGACTCTGGCTGGATGCCACATACCCACCAAGTCACTCTTATCACTCCCCTCCTCAGCAAGATGATGTGGGGAGAAAGTAAGAAAGAAAAATCCTCAGAGTCAAGACAAAGGCAGTTTGATGAAGGACAAGCAGTGGTCGTGCATGGAAGCAGAGGAAAACAAAAGATTTATTCTCTACTTCCCATCAGCAGGTGATTTCCAGCCCCTTCCCAAGGAGCAGGGCTTAGCACATGCAGTGGTGGCTCCAGAGGCCAAGCACCAAAATAACAAATGCCCCTTTCCTCCTTCTCCTCAGCAAAACTGCAGCACTTCAAAACCTGACCACACTCTTTTTGTTTCTCTTTGCTGTCTCTGCCAAGAGCGAGATGTGCCCTTCACAGAGACACACACAGCTCCCTGGGGAACCTCATCAGAGCTGAGCACACCGTGAAGCCTGTGGCTGTTTATTGTGCTGGGTTGAAGGAGAGAAACTGGTTATTCTGGACACAAGATCTCTGCCCTCTAGTACCACAGAACACAAGCAGCAATTCCACATCTGGCTTTAGCAAAGCACTTTGAATCTGAGGTAGCCCCTTTTAGAGGCTAATTCAGCCCACACCATCCAGTTATGTATTGGCTATTGCATGAAAGCCAACTTAAGGAACTCCACTGTTTTAATACCTGTGTCTTGTGACTAAGAAGGCAGGAAAGACAAATGAGGGGATGAGCTGAAAACAAGAATATTTCTGTACACTCATGTTATTTATGTGGGGGAAAACAGGCCCATTCTTTTCTTCTCTCCTTGAAGTTTGATGTGAGTGGAGTTGAAACCCAGATGTTCTTTTTAAAACTCCTTCATTTAGAAAATTAGAACAGCAGGAACGTGCAACAGAACCTGACCAACCAGAGCTTCTACCTAGCAGGTGAGAATTTTGGGTAAATCAAACCCATTTACTGTAGCAATGTTCTTTAACCCCTCATTTTGCCCAGCTCTGCCCAGCTTGTTGAAACCATTGTTCAGTGCCAATGTTCAGCCCCAAGCGTATTTGCCGAAACCACTGTGGTTTTAGATATTATTAAGATTCAGGACTCACATTTTCCAGTTCAGATGCATTGTCCTCCAGTTTCATCTTCTGGCTCATGCAGCTTAGCAGATAATCCAACACACACTGTTTTGGATGCATTCCTTTGTCAAAGCGGTTATACATCCCACACCAAAACCTCAAGGACAGGGCAAGGAAAGGGAATCAGATGGTTATTTGTACACTACTGGCCAACAAACAAACTAGATGCTGTTTAAGAAACAAATTTCAGCAAATTAAGATTAGTAACATTCTAAAAACCTGCCACAGCCTTGGACAGAACATTCAGTATCAGTGGGCAAATGTTCATAGGGTTCAAAAATACTTTAAGTATTTTAAGGTCTAAGTATTTAAGTATTCTGAGGTTATGATCCACATGTGCTGGCACCAGGTATTAGCAGTAAGATGAAAACACACTTTTCCCCACAGCAGACTCACTGGAGGCTTGGGCAGCTCACCCTCAAGTCCTCAATTTGCTGTGCTGTTATCAAAGCCCTTTGCCTGCCAGTAACCACACATAGCACTTAAAACCACATTTACATCCCTCCCTCCCTCCCTCAGCATGGACCAGGAGTGAGGCAGAAAGCAAGCAGCACTAATCAGTGCAGCTCTAACACCCCAGGCAAGCAGAGACATAGCAACAAGAAATCCTTTACCTGACTGCATAAGCCTGGGTGTGATGGGCACTGAGACTCCTGTTTAAAGGACTTCCTTAATACATACATTAAAAGTGAGGAAAGGAAGAACTTTGTTTAACAACTGCCAACCCCTATCATGTAAATTTGGCAGAGGAAGCAGCCAGGGGGTGCATGGGGTCTATCTACACATCTGAAGTTCTTTTCCTTGTCTTTCCTCATAACACCAAAGAAAAGGTATTATTTTAAGTTACATTACCTGCACTTATTTAGCAGTTACCTGTGCACTACTGCTCCCAGTTTATGGATGGGGAATGGAGGGGAAAGGTAGAACAAATGCTCATCAATTAATTTATTAAACCTGAATTGCCAATCTACATTGCAATGGAAGAAATGTCCTTCCTCCCTCCTTAAACAAGGAACTTACTGGAAACAGAAAGGTAGTGTGTTTGGTTGAAGCTCTTTGTAAGCTGTAAATCCTTTGTACAAGGGATTTCTCAATTCTTGCTTCTTCTGTAAGAGGAAAGGCCACAGAGAATGGGTCTTCTCAAAGATTCTGTCAATTACAAATAACAGCTCATCAGTAAAAGAAAGAATCAAGTTAAAGGGACTAATAACTGGCTGAGCTGAGCAGAATCAGATTAAGGAAGTTAAGAATTATTTTTGCACAGTATCTGATTAATTTCAGAAGCACAAGATACATCACTGAGGAATATATAATCACTTAAAATGGACTCTATCCAGTCCAAAAGGGGTATCTGCAAGTTATTACCTTGGTCCAAATTAAAACATCCGTCTTCAGGGATATAACTCATCTATAAATTGTTTTCACACTGCAGAACAGAAGCATCCTTCCAGACAAGGTTACTCTCAACCAATCTACAATTACATTAAAAACACAAACACACAAACCTGCCCTTTTCCTGACTTTTAAAGTGACTTCTAGACTGCTGGCTCTCTAAACCACTAACTTGCCAACTCACTTCAGATCCTCACGCTCCTTATGGCAGGTCCCAAGGAAGTTGCCAAACTGGCAGGAGTAGACATGGTCATGGATTTCAAGAAGGAAACGTTCATTGAACTCAAAGGTGCACGGGAACTGCTGCATGAGCTGCCACACACATTCAATGAACTGGGTGAAGACAGGGGAGACTTCTTTGGGGTCACCATCCAAATGGCCACATCTAGAGAGATGCAAATAAACCAGGGTTAAGTCCTATGTCACGCAACAAAAACCAATCCTCTTACCATTAAACCACTGGAGAGTTTTCTTCACTACTAGAATAAGAAACTATTCTGCAGAGACAGAAAAAACCCATATGGTTTATCTTAGAGCAAGTGCACATTAAGGAGTGCCACCCTCATTACTTATTCTCCAAGGATATCTGTTAGGAGCAAAGAGAATTGTGCCATGTCCCTTTCTCTAAAGTCAAATTAGCCATGGAATAGCCCACATAACAGAGTTGCAACCACCACAGGAAGTATCAGGAATCCTTGAGCCTATGCTATCATGTCTGCATATGATATGGTAAATACCACATCAAGGTAATAACCCTACTAGATGCAGGCAATTACAGGAATCTGCTTAAGGAATGCAAGTCAAATGGGGTTTTAGCACTATACTGGGCTCAGGTTTATGCCTTGAACTTGATAAAAGTTCAAGTCCTGAACAAACAGAAGCAGAGATTTTCTTCCAGGAGGTGAATGCAGAAGAATCAAAATGTCTTGCCAGAACATCAGCACTTCTCATGTAATGTGAATGTGACTTTCCAGGTAGGAAACCACTCAGAACTCAAACAATTTGGTCAAAACTGTTTGATCCTGTAAAGTAATATAGTACAAAAGCACTGATGAAATAACAAACCCAGCAGATACTGGCTTTGTGTTACCAACTCCAGTATTTTCCACATCTTTTCTCCTCTGTCCTGTATATTCATTTATATTTTTCATGAACCTGAAAACACTGCATTAGTTTCCCTGTCAAGCCTTCACCCAGTCACTACACCCATAACGTGCTGCTCTTACCTGTGTGAGAACTTGTGGCCCATTGCAATCCATTCCTTCTCTATCAGAACCTTCAGTTTCAAAACAGAGATGAGAAAAATAGCATTACTTTGCTTAGAAAAAGCAAAAGGAAGCCTTTGATGCTAAAGTCAGCTACCTGCTGACCCTCCTGGTATAAGGAGTCAATGGAAACAGTAATTGTGATTTATAGATTAGTTATCCACAGTTACTAGCACAATATCAATGTGGAATCACAAGTTATTTCAAGGAAATCCAGTACTATTTTGAGGGAGTTTCTATGTTGTTAGAATCATAATATATGAACACACTGAGCTAAAAGAATTAACAGCTTAATATTACACTATGTACTATTTGATTTGGAGAAGACTATTGTGATATTCAGCAAAATCAATCAGCAACTGGAATGCAACAGATGTTTAACACACAAATACGAATCTAAGAAGTACAGCTGTGTACGGAGGAGCTCAGGATGAAATCAGAATATGGTTATTTCTGTTTTAAACAGAATGCCTGTGCTATGTGTAAGAAAACAAGGAAGCACTATTTTCCTTAAACACGTCTCATAAGAAACCAAATGCCTGATGCTGAATCCATTATTACTTGCCTTGCAGGGTCATATTTAAAGATCAATTCCTGACACCATTATCCAGAGACTTAAAGAACAAAAAGGCAGAAATTCCCAACAGAGGTCTTTGAAGTTATATTGCTTTTCAGATTTTCCCATTCCCGATACTTCTGTTGCATTTACTGAGGAATAAGCATTCTCCTGGGATTTGTGCATATAAACCATTTGCTCAGAGGACAGACAAGCATTTGTTTGTTTTAGTTACTGCTCCTGCTCCTAATCAAAAGCACGTTTCTTAGTTCATACAGAATTGTCCAGAGTGCAGCCAAAGCCCAGGCAGATGTTTCACACTCTGATGTCATTTTAACTGTCAGACAGCAGTATAATCCAGAGCCAAAATAATAACTAGTAATGAAATCAGCATAGAATGCAAGGAAACAATCCCAACAGTGCAACACACAGGGAGGAGGCAGAACTTGCAGTATTATGACTTCAGGGTTTCTTTTAAGGAACTCTTGAGAGAGAGCAGCAGCCTTTCAGGTGTTTAACAAAAGAGGAATGGAAGTATAATGTCACATATTGCTCTGTATACAGTGTGCCAGCTTCAAATAAGCAGCCTGCAGTAGAAGCAAATGGTCAAATTTACGTGTAATGGATTTAAAAAAGGTCTTCAACAACGCAGAGTTTTATCTGACATACAGGTTATGTGCTGCCCTGTGCAGAAAGAATGAGCTCAGCCAACTTTAAATCCCAGCAGATAAGAGAACATTCACTCAGACAGTCTTAAATGACAAGCTGCTTCACCACTTTTTTCATGGATTGCTGCCAGAGTTGCATCCCTTGCTCACTTATCCCTTGCTGAAATCTCATTAGTGGCTCTGACATGGACATTCAAGGAAACAAAGATTTGGGAACTGTAAATCAAGTGTGTTTTGTGCCCATGCTGTTCAGGGCAATTAAACTTGTTTCTAGAATCAAAGCTGCTTTTATATAGGTCACCTACTGTTTGTTCCAGGAAATGGCCCAAAACATTCAATTAGGGCCTGTTTACAAACCCAGGAAGCACTTTTTGGTTTTAGAATTCCAATGTTTGTGTTCTTACCATGAAACCTTTAAAAGTCCTGTAGAAAGGATCCAAGAGGAGGCTGGCCAGGGAGCAGACCTGCGCCGTGCGGTCCCACCCGTCCGAGCAGTGCACCAGCACACTGGCTTTCTCATCCTTCACAGCCTGTCAAAAGACACCACACACACAAGTTGAGCAGCTTTCTCAGTGTGTTACTGCAGTTAAATGCTATCCCTTCAGCTGCATTTACCTGACTGGCCTGAAACCCAAGAAGAGTATTTGGCATTTCCCATCCAGGCCATGGAAATGCACCAGTTCTGGGCACATCACCATCAACCCACAGGAAAACCCAACCACAATAAAGTGCCATGGTGTGCCCCTTGTAGGCAACAGAGGCTGTCAAGAAACAAAAACCCTCTGATCTCTAAATGCTGGGTCTTCTGCAAGGCCAAGAATTCACAGTTCCCTCCTCTGAGGAAAAGATTTGGTGGATAAGTAAAGAACAATAACTGGATACACAAGGACAAGAGACTTCAAGAAAAATTATAAGAGCTTATCCCAACTTCATCCCATATGGATCACCTTGTGCTGATGGCAGAAGGAAACACTAAATAGCTTCCTGCTGGCTACAGAGGAAAATTGGAGAGAAAAGACAACATGTACAGAAGGTCTCTACTCTCGCCACGTGCTGCCTGCACACTCTCTATCACTGAGGAGCCAAGTGCCCTGGTGACTTTTCTCCTTCTGCCTGACCTGCAAAGCCACAAACTCTGCAGAAATGAGGACTCTGTTGAACAATCAAAATTAGCAGTGCCCACACTGCACAGAACCAGGAGAAAATGAACTGCTCTAAACAATCCCTCATTTAACACACTTCAGAGCAGTTCAGTAACTAATGAGCACAAGGTTATGAGTTGTTTGCACTCGTAATAACATGTTAGAGACATTTAGAAAGGTCACTTATTGACACTGTGACTTTATTTGTTTCAAAGGAGTTCTAATAAAGCCTAGATAACTGCAACAAGCAGTGGCAATGCAGTGCACAGGACAACGTCCCAACCCCTGCAGCATTTAGCTTAGTCACAGGAAGTAGCCAGAAGTCAGCCAGCTCGGTGACCTGCTGCCATTCTCCAACTGCAGGCTTGGTTTTGAGAACTCAGGCCATTCTGACCAGCAATGTGTTCCCACCTTCTCTCCAGAGACATCTTCCAGCCTTGGAGCAGTCCCTAACAGACAAATACATACTTAATTCACCTCAGGTTGGAGTACAGTTTTACCTTGGCAAGAAAGACACCCGCATCCATCACAGCCTTAATGTGCCGTAACCAACCCGAGTTCTCCAGGCCAGTGAGGAAATCACTCATGGAGGGGGACTTCATCTCACACACTGAGAACACAAACAAAGGAATTAGCAGACATTCCATTAACAACATCTTTTTCTTTTTCCCACCTCCTCATTATCTCTTCACAGCACCAGTGCTTGGGAGATCCCAAAAGCTCACATTTCCACACTGTCAGCAGCAACATCCTGTCTGAAGGACACAAACCACTGGCTCCAGGCTTAAACACACACACCAGCAGTTTTTAGTTATGAGAGAACTTGAAGATCTGAAAATATCCTCCTCCTCTTTCTAAAAGGCAACTCATTACTTTTTCAGCTGAGGTTTTTCTAACAAAAGAAAGTGTTTAGTGCTGTTTCTTCACTATAAGTCACCTTCACACACACATCTGACCACCACCAATGTGCAGTGACCAAGGACCTGAAGAAAGGAGAGTTTTAATTTAAAGAGAGAAATAACACATTAAACCTTGAAGGCAAATCAGATGCTATACTGAAAGCCAGCACAGAAAATACTTCTAGTAATGCAGCTCAATAGCCTGTAAGCACCAGTGAGTAAGCTTTTTATCACTGTCTGAGAAGAATATGGGAGTAAACAAGTATTTATTCTGCTCTTCTTCCACCACAAATAAATCTGCCAGAACAGGCAATTGAGGACTTGTACTTGTCATCAGGACAATCTCTTGGTTGTGTGAATAGCCTCATTTTTCTCCAAGGTCACCACAGGTCCTGCAGTGCCACCTGGCAATTGGTAGCATCAATTATTCAGCTACTGTGAGGCAAGATGACCATTATGCTCCTTACTAAAACATTGCACTTGTACTCTGAATGACAGCACTTGTATGAAAACTAAGCACAGGGACCAAGCAGAATGATTTGCAGCATCTCCTGTGCACAAGGACAGCAGCAGTGCTGGAAAGCAGGGAGCAGAGCACACTGGTGTGATCCAAGCTGTGCCATCACCTTTGATGGAACCTCTCCAAAACTACATTAGTGACAATACAGGCCTGATTCACCTCTTGATCTGCAACAGCTCAGATAAGCATTTCTTCTGTGCTCCTTCACATTTTTCCCTAAAGTCCGCAGTCTCACAGAGCAGCTCAATATCCTGAGCAACTCTGCATTTTAGTATCTATTTGAATGCACTAAAACATGTCTTTAAGACATTAAAACGTACTGAAGTCCAGTTAAAGGAATTGGAAATAAATCAAAAATAAGCACTACGTATGAGATTAGATTGTCTGGAAGATCATGCCAAAATTAATTTCAAATCAGAAATACTGTTTAACACTATATAACTCCAAAGTAAACACAGCAAACCCCAGGAAAACATTTCTTCAGTGGCCTTATGCCAGTTCTCTTTCGATAGCTCACAAAGTAACAGTACAATGCAGTATTTCTGCAGCCTTTTAATTTGGCACATGTAAGAAACTGACATTTGCTGGACCTGGGGTAATGAAGAGCGGCCACTTGCACAGCCTGCACCCACCTTCCAGCAGTTTCTGCAAGCTGCTCCTCATCACATGGATGTTCTCTATGCCGATAAATTTAAAGCGGATGTTATCATAGTTATCTTCATTCTCATAGCCCTTCCCTGCAGCTCGGTTGGCCATGGCATTTAACTGTCACAGGCAAGGGAACAGGATAGGAAAGAAAGAAAATTATAGCAAACAATATGCAGAAACAAAAGAGTCTGTTTTGCAAGTCCTTCTTTTTAAGTCTCCCAGAAAATACATTGAACAAAGTTGTACTTCCCACCTCCCAGACACTATTTCCAGCTGTTTCACTAATACTATGCCACTGTCTCCAGTCCATTATTCATATGCTAAGACTCATTAAGACCCTGGACAGGATTTCTTAGGGTGAGCAGCATGAAAATCATGCTCAGTTGCACAATATTGACATTGTGTCTGCCTCTACATAAAAGATTCAGACAGAAGCATATAAAAGTAAACCTAGGAAAGCCATTTGTATGAGGAACATACATACATGATGGTATAGAAATAGTAAGAGAATTCCAAAGTTTTTCACAGACATACATGCACAGATGAAATAAAGCCACCTGAGGGAAACATAGAAATATTCAAGTTGAGCAGAAAGAATACAGAAGCCAACTGGAACTGCAAAAAAGAAGCAGAAAAGAAGCCAGCTGCCCTAACGGTCACCCAAGCCAGTTCAAGAGCTACCAGGAAATCTTTAGAGGGGACCAAAAAGAACCCAAAAGAGCACCTCAACCCCCCATATATTAATTTGGGAAGGAGTGATTTGAATCCAGAGAAAAGGAAGAGTCAGATATGGTATAAACATCTCCAGAATAACTGAACAACTCTTGTGGTTCAGTTTAATCACCCAAGACACGTGATGTTAGAAAGAGAAATGTGACTTATTTCTCCCTTCTTCATATAGTTTAGAACAAAACTGCCATCAATGATAGATGTCAGTGAAACATCTATGATACTGGAATGTATAGTTTAGAACAAAACTGCCATCGATGAAAGATGTCAGTGAAACATCTATGATACTGGAATCTGTCTGAACCAAAACGACATGCAGCCATTCCTATGAACATCCATATAATCACAGAGTAGGTTCTCTCTAGGAAACGTCACACTACAAAAAGCCAAAATACATCTCGGAACATCAGGTGAAACATTCCCCCTTTTCCCAAAAAGATTTCTTCCCTTCTTGCCCTTAGCCATAGTTAACAAGATCTGTAGTTTCTCTAAAATAACTGCAATGTCTGAACAGTGAAGCAGGTTCTCAGAAAGCTCAATTTTAAAGTAATCAGAACAGTTTCAAATCTTTGTATTTCAGTAATTGTGTACTATGAAAATCCTCCTATTCTCATTTGCCTCCCAACCAACATGCTTACAGGAATCATTTGAGTTGGTTTCTGAATTCAGATCCTCAAGACAGTCACTACAGATTTAATCTTCCTTCAATATCCTCTTACATAGACACCTCAGCAATGAAATTCTAGCCCCGGATAGTGACTATGGATCAGAAAAGCTGAACTGTATTGAAGTTCAAGCTGCACATCATGAGAACACAAGTGTTTCCACAAAGGCAAAAAAAAAGGAGGAATTGCTTTACTCCATTGTTACCAAACTCCAGGCAGCCCCACTCCTTCCCAGGTCTGCTGACAAAAGCACTTCTGCCTGGTGGAACTGAATCCTAAAGGCTTCTCTCCAACTCAATGTATTAAGGACCAGCTCTCTGCAGGAAAATGCTTCACTGTCTCAGCTGTTCAAAGTTGTCAGTTGCTTCACACAAACCTCAGCCCAGAATACTCCAACATTCTTAACACCACTTAACATTGCCGGTTTATTATGCACAAGCATCCATCACATCAAGGCACCAGACCAGGAGCCTGATACTGAATTCCTGATTCAGGACTGCCACAATTTAACCTACTGCAGTGTAAGAGAGTTGTGAAAGAAAGAACTGGGAACAGCATTACTACTTCAGGCACAAGCTTTAGAAGTAGCCACAAACCCCGTGAAGATACCTTTGGCCTTGTGTCTACAACATACATGAAGGGGCTCCCAGGGTTGGCTTCTCTGATGGCCTGCAGCATCTGTTCATCCTCCAGACAGCGCGCGCTGAACCCGGACAGGGGCTGGCTACAGCGGCAGATGGCAGCCTGCAACACACAACACCCCACCTTTGCCTGCTTCCACGTGGTCTCTACTGGACTGCCCCAAAGAATACAGTTTGTTGGGCTTAAGTGTCCCATTCCCTGTTTCAGTAAAAGCCTCCTACTTCCATGGACATACAGAAATATTACTGGAGTATTTCTCCAAGCTAGATGTTTGGGAATCTTAAAGCAGCGAGCTCTGCTGCAACCTCACTGCTGTGCTCTCAAACCCACTATGCTCCACCTTATGATCAGTACCTCAAATGTTAGCATTTCTCATGTTTTCTACCTGGTTTCTATTATCCAAACCATTTATTTCCACAACTTTGCTTATCAGTTGTTACTGTGCCATGCTCAGAACTGCACTGAGTATGCTTTAGGGAAATTCCAACAGTCGCCAGCACAACTCCACACAGTTGCCCAGGTCAAAGCACACTTCCTCAGGAAAACAATCATTTGACTGACACAGCATTTTCCTAACATCTGCATCTAAAACATGCTGAGACAGCAAAGTTAAAAATTTACATTCTGATCTTCAGTGGAAACCTTCACTTATTCTGAGCCAGTGGGGATTTATTTCGGGGTGGTTCCTCCTCTTCAACACTAAGAAAATCCAGCTGAGTTAATATGTATTGTATTAAAACACTACTCAATATAGCAAAGAGTAGGTTAGAAAAACCTACGTAAGAAGGCATTGCTGAAAGCTGATTAAAAAAAACTCCAGCCAGGAAGCTTAGGAAGTTTGTGCTTTTTGCACAGCCCTGGATGTGTCCCAAGTGTTTGCCTTTAACCAGCTTATTCTGTGACTCAGAACAAGCCAGAATTAAAGGTGTTAAGAGAAGCACAGTTCTCAAATGTGAAGTTAATATGCTCTAATAATTACCTCAGATTTTCCTTTCACTAAAAGGGGATGGACAAGAAGGAGAACCCTCACTCCCCACAAAGACAGCAGACAGTGAACAACTAACATTGTTTTCTTTGAATAAGTAAGAAAGCACCGGAATCCGGCCTCTGCTTCTGAACCGTGAGCTCCCGATCACCACTGCCTTACTAGCAGCTCGAGGCACCACTATTTCTGGAGGATACGTGTTGCAAACCTAAGTGAGAAGAAAGAAAAGAATCCAGATATTACTGCTTAGCAATTCAAAATGCATGAAAAATTCATCTGTAGCTTCTGATCTAGCATTTATGAACAGCAGGAATAGATTGTTTGCTGTACTGTATCTAACACTGTCTGCACCTCAAGTTTCAAGTCATTAGAAGCATTTAGAAAAGCAACACAGAAATAGGTGCAAAATAAAGCAATGTGGTGAAGGAAATAACCAGCGCTGCATCTGAACTTTAAAAAATGGACTGCACAGTGCACAATATATATTAAAAGGAAGTTCTTCATGTCCATAAATCTTACGAAAGCTCCTGATTTGTCACAAAAAGCTATATTAAGAACAACTATGTTTAAAAAGTTCCCTCTTATTCAACTTGAAATGAACTTCCAGCATCCTCAGAAACCAGTTTTGTCCTTTTTCCTTGAAAAAGTACAGTCTTTGCAGCAGGTACTTCACAGATAAGCTGTTCTCCAAGTCTGGCTTTACTTTAGGCTTGACATCTTTAAGTTGGAAACCCTGAGGAAATTTGAAAGCACTGGCACTTGAGAGTTACATACTAGCAAGTATAGCTTCAAAGTGATTAATACTTTAGATGCTCACATTCAGATGCCCTAATCAGCTAATGGAAAAAGCATTTCTTGCATTGTTTCTCAATTCAGGCATCCAAAGATAGAGTCATTTAAAATTACCAGTCACTTCTGACAGCACAGGCTTGTATTTCTTCAACCCAAACCGCAAAAGCAAAGAAAGCTCATGGGGGAAGGGAAGAGAGAACAGGGGGAAGTGATTCAGGACTTAATATACTGGTATCTTCCTCAGAGCTCTTTGTTTTGTCTTTTAGACAGAAAGCTCTGACTGTACACAACATCAGAAGAAAAAAAAGGGAAATACAGTAAAGTAGGAGTTTGAGTAAGCTCGCTGAAAAGTGCTTTCATTTTACACGGTTTAGATCCAATCTGGCCAGCCTTACAGGGGAGAAAGAAGAAAGCAGCAGCAGCAGCAGCAGCCAGTTAGGACTGAAATGTCCAAGAGCCCCGAGTTAGCAGAAGATCCAACCAAGCAAGAAAAAAAAAAAAAATATGATTTCTGCTGCTGTTCTTTCCTTCCCTACCTAGCCCCCTTCCACTCTGTCTCATTCCCCACCAAGCCAAACTGCTGCCATTTATTTCTCCTTCTACACATCTGCCACCAGCCTGGTGGGACAGGGCTTGGAAATGTCAAAAGCAGCAAAGGGTACTTCCAGTTTTTTTTGTAACAGATGGTTTAACATTCCTCTAGAAAAACAAGTATCTGATACTTTGCCAAGGGGATCAAACCAAGCCAAGGTGACTCTGCAGCTCTGTTCTATTCTTCCATACAATCATTATCCTCAACTTCACATCAAGACAATGCTGCTTCGATCAGAGCCAACTGAGCTCATTTCTCCCCTGAGGGATCACTTATGCAGCAGCAGGACTGCTGCATGTCCTTAATAACAAAGGAGAGATACCACATTAAATGACTACTTTGGGCAAAAATTACCTCATAATCTTTATTAACATCTGTTAGTTCCCAGTAGTCGTTTGGAATTCCCATACGCTGGTAATCTACTTTTAAATCAACCAGCTTCCATCCAATCTCCCGGCTCTCTTTAGACACTTTAGGATTATAGGAGAAAGCATAAAGTTCTTCAGGTTTTGCTGGGAAGAAGAAAGAAAAAGATTAACTAGTTAGAAGTTTTCTTTCTTTACTTTGTGTAATTCTCTACTCCAAGCAAACTTAGACTGACTCTCACTCCTTAAAATGAGCACCACACAGAAGAGTAGAGCAATTTTAAGTATCTAAACCTCACATTTACAGGTTTTCATTCAGCAGAGTACCAACAATTCATATTGAACTCCCCAAGCATTTCCAATATTCAGTTCCCACATGCAGGGAGAGGACTAAACCATTTTGTTAGAATTAATTGAAACCTCAAAGTAGTAATTTTTCCTGATCAAATTATTTCTTCCTGAATTCACTGCAATAAGCATGTTAGATGAGATTTATACCATAAGGATTAATTCATAAATGAAAATGTCTACTAAAAGATGTATTTTCTGTGAAAAGTTCACACACCAGCTCTTGCACACCTGGAAGTTCATTGCTCAACAGCGAGTTTGGAGCCGCACGGAAAACTTGACAGACAGCTTGAATATTCCTGTCACCCAACAAAAGCTTCAGGCCGTGTCTGACAAATGCTAATTTCTTCCTCCCCCCATCTCCACCATCCCAATGTTCTTCCCTCTCTTCATAAAATGCAAATCCAACCAATAACTCATTCAGCTGATTCCCAAGGCAGCAAGTGCTTCAGAGTGAAACCTGTCAGAGTCTGATAAAGTAGCCAGGTTACTAGACAGGTAACCCATAGCTGTCAATCATACCTGTGCAAATCAAATCATTATATGCTCTGACAAAAGCCATGAAGGAAGCATACATATAGGAGTTTCAAAGCAACAAAAGAGAACTTAAAATCTAGAAAAAGAACAAAAGAAAAACCTACAGCGCTCTACGCAAACAGCCACAAGACAAAAGAAACTGTTGGAAGCCTCAGCAGCGACAGCTCCTACGCCACAAGATGCTACATTAAGTCTCTGATTTTCAGAACTGAAAGAATACTGACAGCTTTTAAACTTGCCAGACTTCAGACCTAGGAAAACTCCAAAGCTCTTGGAGCTTCGGAGCACAAGGGGGAACGGACACAAGCCTAAATATCATTAAAAAAAACCAAACTCAGCAAAAAACATTCCTG